TACCAGCTTTGAGCCTACTGCTACTAATTACTTAAAATTATACTTCATAATAAACCTCATTGTTGCAAACAACTCAACCACCAAGGAGGAGTAATTAAATTAAATTCAGTCACTTAAGCATTTAACTGAACAGCAGAACCCAGGTTAGTTTGGCAGCAGATTAGTTCATGTTTAAATGGGTTGCGTTGGAGTTGATGGATTTTCTTTTCAAGCAGCACAACATGGGGGGCAGTACATTCATCTCTACCTGTCATGGTCACTCGGGAGAAAGCTGATGGTCTCCCTTGACTTTGAGATACAAAACATGAATATTGCAATGTTTTGGATTGTCTGTTTAGTTAGAGCAGGGGGGTTCAGTCAAATACAGGCCGCCATGTGTTGTTGAAATTCAACTCTCATCAGCCCTTACCGGCATTTCCAAAAGTGAGGAATGCTGGGAGTTATTCTCCAACAAAATCTTTAGAAACACATAAGGCTAAAGAATTTGGCTGCAGATCTGGCTTTCCTGGGCACTTTTGCTCCTAGCAATGATTCAGAATTACAGATTGAGGTGCCTCTGTGTATTTGGGGAAATTGCCAACTTCTATATTGGGCAGATTTCTAGAAAACAAAGGGAAAATGTCCCCACATTTGAGCCTTTAGATAAAATTGTGCCCAGAAAATGGGCTAGTGATTTGTAAGGGCACATAGGCACATATATACTGACTCTAGTTCATACAGCGGATATATGACATATGGAATTCACAAATACAAGATAAGTAAAGGTAAAAGTTTCCCCTGGCATTAAGTCTAGTTGTGTCCGACTCTGGGGGATGGGCTCATCTCCATGTCTAAACCGAATAACTGCCGTTGTCCGTAGACACCTCCAAGGTTATGTGTCCAGCATGACTGCATGTAGCACCATTACCTTCCAGCAGAAGCGGTACCTATTGATTTACTCACATTTGCATGGTTTCGAACTGCTAGGTTGGCAGAAGCTGGGTCTATGAGTGGAAGCTCAGCCCACTTCCTGGAATCAAACCAACTTTTCATTCAACAAGTTCAGCAGCTCAGCAGTTTAACCTGCTGCACCACCAGGGGGGCCTCAAATACAAGACAGGATCTTGAATATAAAAGACTACAACCATTTTCTTATCGACGCTTTTCCAAGCTCAATGATGTCACATGATTTTCACTGACTTTATGAAACATGCTCGTGATTGCTGTTGGCTGCATCAGGCCTTACAACCAGACATCACGGCACTACAAGGCTGGACTCTGCACAAGTAGAGCAGTCTGTATTATGTGACTTTACTTTGCACTGCCTGATGGTTTGTAATGAGGCCATTTAGCCTTGATTTCCATGGTAGGAGAGCTTTGATCCTTCATCATTTCAGCCATGTAACAGAACAGTTTTAGGACATTATAACAGAATGCAGAGACTTGCCAATTTGTCAGAAAATCACACTGGGAAAGCGTTTTGAAAGGTCAGACCAGTTCAACGCTTTGCCCCTACGGATAGCTTTTATGTAAAATAAAGACTGATTGAAGTAATGTTCATTTTTTCCACTGAAATGTAAAAATTTCACATTGCACAGTAATTAAGCTCTGCTTGTTATATTTTCCTTATAGATAAGATTGTTCAGCCGTTTCCTCAACAGCATCACCTATAAAGAAAATATCATAACCTACCTTATCAAGCTCACATGTATAAAGAATTTGAATGGGTTGTGTGATTCAAAAGCCCCTTTAAAAACTAATCTTTTTGAAGGGTCATCTCTCCTCTCCTGTGTACAAAAGGCTTGGGGGCTCCATCCTTCCCATCTAAATCATACTTTTTCTAATTTGCCAACAAATGAATCAAAATTATTGAGCTGTGCAGATCAAGATTTGAGCAAGAGCAGCAACAACAATGGGCTGCCGAGGATGCATTTCAGTTACTCACCCATGTTTTTGTTTCCTCTTCAGATCTTAGATTGTGATTACCAAGATATTATGAGTATACAAGTCCCATGGTCAATATCTCACTGTCCCTACTATCTGGGGATGATGAGAGCTGTAGCCCAACACCTCCTGGAAGGCAATGAATTGTAGCCTCTCCCTACATTTTAATAATGTCCTGTTGTACTGCTTTGTTATTGTTTTCTGCTTTAACTGTTTTATTTGCTATATATTGTATTGTTGTATTGTGTTGGGCTCCGGCCTGTTGTAAGCCGCATCGAATCCCTTGGGAGATGCTAGCGGGGTACAAATAAAGTAATAATAATAATAATAATAATAATAATAATAATAATAATACTCCGAGGGCCCTTCTACACAGCCTTTTATCCCAGGCTATCAAGGCAGAATATCCCACATTATCTGAGTGTGAACTCAGATAACCCAGTTCAAAGCAGATATTGTGGGATTTTCTGCCTTGATATTCTGGGATAAAGGGCTGTGTGGAAGGGCCTGGAGTCTCCCAAGGCAGGAACTTGCCCTTTTTCTTTATTTTTACATAAAAAGAAGTGCACACTGATGGGTTAACAATGGTTATAACCATGACGAAAGTTAATCAAAATCATTACAATTTACTTTCAAGATATCACACTCAATGTTTGCAGAAGAGAAAGGCTGACAATTATATTTGTTTGAATAAGAACTGGGATTTTTAATAAAATTCTTATATTGTTAAATTTTTGAGCAAACATTTTGGTCTTCCTTATTACAAACCTATGTGTTTGTGTCCCCCTACCGGAATGAATGAGCTACTGCAATGAAATGACTTGGTAAGATGACAAGACTGTTTCTGGTGTCCTTGAGTTATCAGACAAACGTATTTTATTTATTTATTTATTTCCTATATTTATACCCCGCCCTTCTCACCCCGAGGGGGGACTGAGGGCGGCCTGACAACAAGCACCATACGGTGCCATCAACATCATAAAACATTTCAATAAACACATTAGAACATTAAAACAGCTAATTAAAAACGATGACGCACCAGTTAAAAACCAAATTCTAGTCTGGGTCAATTCATTGTCCTAGGTTGCCTGAGTCTTCTTTCCACTTGCTGCCAGTCACTAGTTGAACACCTGGTCCCATAACCATGTTTTAAGTTTCCTTCTGACAGACAGGAGATAGGTGGCCAGTCTGATGTCCCTGGGGAGGGAGTTCCACAGGCAGGGAGCCACTGCTGAGAAGGACCTGTCCCTTGTCCCCACCAATCACGTTTGCGATGGTGGTGGGATAGAGAGCAGGGCCTCTCCAGATGATCTTAAACTCCGTGATGGTTTGTAACAGGAGATACGTTCCAACAGGTAATCTTGAATGGTAACCTTTTAGTAAGTACAGCCAAAAAGTACGCTGAATACAAGATGCACCCGAATGACAGGAGCAACTGTCCCAAGGTACATATTATATTGTAAGGAAGTATCCAACAGATGGTGATGAGAATGAAAATAGCAATTATCTCCACTGTTAAGGAAAAAGAGAGGATATGAGGGTGAAATCAGACTAGAATATCAAGCATGTGGTCTTGAACAGGACAGTAAAATAAATCCTAGAGAAGAAAACCATGCTGTTTCCTTCTCTATATTATCCTTTTGTTGGTTATTAGTCATGCTGGCCACATGACCTTGGAGGTGTCTATGGACAACATCGACTCTAACTTAGAAATAGAGATGAACATCAACCCCCAGTCAGACTTGGTTGGACTTAAGGGGAAACCTTTACCTTTACGTGCATCTTTGGCTGTAGTTATTTCATGGTGCTGTATCCATCCTGCTGCTGCTTTGCATATCATCCATTAGTGCAACACTCTATTATGTCCCTTCTTCTGTAGTTCTGATATGTGAAATGGAGATGAGCACCAACCCCCAGAGTAGTAAACGACTGGACTTAATGTCAGGGGAAAATCTTTACCTTTACCTAGATATACGCTCTGACTTTCTACCAACAAATACCATACAAAGTGATTAACGGTGATAAAATGAAGTATAGGTATGTAATTCAACATGAAAATCCAAGTCTTTAAATGTAATTAAAATCCATCAGTTAAAGGAAAGCCCTACCATCCAAAAAACCTTTTATGAACTCAGAATTGGGGAAAGAGTTCTCTCCACCACCCAGACACCATTTGGCCTGGATTAGAGCCTGTCCATACATTTTATATGAGGTTAAGTGTACACACGACACCTCCCAACAAAGTATTCCACAGGGCAGCAACCAGCCAGGCTTTGAAGCTGCAAAGCCATTCAATGCTAATCAAGGTCAGTTGCAACATTCACACTTGCCTCAAGCAGACAAGAGTTCTTTCTCCCACCCTGGACATTCCACATTCACTTGCCTGGTTTCCAACAGACCTCTCAACCTCTGAGGGTGCCTGCCATAGACGTGGGCAAAATGTCAGGAGAGAATGCATCTGGAATGTGGTCATACAGCCAGGAAAACTCACAGCAACCCAAACAGATGTTGCTTAAGTATCCATGCAAGATACACAAATTTGTATAAACAGAATTTGGTATAGCACCCTCTAGAGGCCACATTTAGATGAAAACACAAACTGTGGTCCACTACATGACACTATATAAACTAAAGAGAAAAACTCAAGTCACAATAGCATGTCACAACATACTACCTCAAAACTGAGGTGAGAAGTGGCAAGAATATAAGAACCACTATGCTGGATTAGACTAAAGTCTTGCCTCGTCTACATTCTGATCCAATAGTGGTCAACCATAACCTGGGTATGAATTGCGTCAAATGGTAATCCCTTTTTAAGATGTTAAGCACCATTATCGCTCATCACCTCTAACCCATCATCCAAGGCAAGCCTCTTCAAAAATGGAAATTTCCTGCCCAAACTGTTTTGTACCAATGCTGTTGTTGCTGTCCAGCCATTCCTCTACATTTGTGTTGCCAAACAGAAAGCTATCCTCCAAACCAGCTGATTAACATTTATGGCAACTTAAATTTCAAAAGTCTTACTGCAGGAGAGCTGTGTTTTGTTTTGTATTTGTTTTAATGAAACCATTTTCACATTTAGGACATTTTCAAATTTTATTTGCAACTATTGCAATTACAAAGAAATATATCAATGTAAGTTTGCATTTAAAGTGACAATCCTCAATTTCATAAACAAGGTCACAAATAAGTGAGTAGCTCATTTGGACTTTAAGTGGCTTCCATTATATGGAAATGTCCCTGTATGACAAATTTATTTGTCAATTTTTACAGTATTTCAGTCTTATAGTTCCTCAACATATCTGTGATAAAAAAAATTACTATATGATTGACATTTTAATGTTATCTTTACAGTTTCTAACCACACTGATAAATTATTTTCTTTACATGTGGGAAGAAAGACTGGAATTTATTATATGGTTTTGCTCCTCCCTTGCCAAAGACCTCAGATATGCCTTAGAAATCAAAAGCAAATATTTAAGTTGAGAATGAAGTTTGGTTATCCATGCTAATATCCCTGTTCAGCCCTCAGAAGAGAGGAAAAATGCACTATTACAAAGCAGGGTTTTATCAAATTTAGTCCAGTTTATTTTGAATTGTTTTCAATAAATACAAAAAAACCCATCTTAGCATGTGAGTCCAATTTAAAAGACTACTAACAGGGAAGGTGGATTAAAAGCCAAGCTTTGATAGTTTTACCTTTAGTAAAAGGCATTCAGTGTTAAACCACCACTTTGTTTAACACATGGTCCCACAATCATTTTATGCACACAGTTTTATTCTAAGGAATAAATCCTGTATGATTTGCTGATTTTGGATGCCTAAATATGTTTTAAGCCATTAAGAAACTGAGAAATACGTGTAATCTGCTTAAAACCTGGAGCAAAATTCCCCTCCCTGTAGGTACATTAAGTCTCAAAAGATTAGCCATCATGACAATATGGAATGAAGCCAAGTGAAGGCAGGATGCCAATTTCTGAAGTCAAAAGGAACAAGACAGGTGTTTAAAAGCAATGAATAATCTCAGTTTCAGAAATGTTTGTAATGCCACTGCAAAAAAAATCTCTGTAAAACAGAAACTTCAAAGTATGTTAATTTTGCCTTCAAAAATGTTGTAAAACAAATCTTCTAATATGAAAAGTTTATTTAAAGATTGCTTCTACTTAATAATAGCATCTCTTAATATATTGGACCAAAAGTCAATCAGACAACATAGCCCACACTTCTGGACACTTAGGATAAAAAAGCTTTTATTTTCAGTTCGAATAAATGCACCTTCCTGTATGTAAAGGCTGTAAAGAGCCATAAGCATCTCCCAGATTATACCAACTGACTGATTGACAGACTTCCACTGGGAAGTTACATAAAGCACTCATAATTGGTAAAGAGAAACTAAAAAGAAGAAGAAAATCCATCTTCCATACTTCTAACAGAGTTTTATTTTTTCCTTTCCCAGGTCAAAGTTTTGCAGAATTGTCCCACGTAAGACTGTTAGTTCATAGCCATGTTTAGTCATCCTCCTCTTCCTCCTCCTCCTCTTCCTCAAAGCTGTCTTCAAAACCCTCACTGTCTTCCTGGTCTTCGTCGCCCTCGATTGCTGTATCCCACTGTGGATGGTTCTCTGGCACTGGCTTGGCTTCGTGAACTTCCAGCTGCAAGAAGAAGTTGGGTGATTGTTCAGAAAAGGAGGGGAGGGGGCACATATTATTTTCAGGATGATATCACTGTTTATCCCACAAAAGACTTGTGAAACATAAAAAAACATGTTTATCTACAACAATCACTTCAAGGAAAAGTGTAGCTTCGACAATTCCCCAAAGAGCTAGGACCTGTAGCAGCCCAATCCTCAAACCTCCTTTTAGTGACCATATAAGGGGCTCCACCAAAGGAGACAAATTCAGCTCTTTTACAGAGTCTCTGGATTGTGCTACTAAATAACCATACTGAAAACATTACTACTCTAAAAAGTGGCAAAAAAGAGAAAACCGGTTAGCTTTTATGTCGCTGGATGACCTGGTGAAATGGTTCCACACAAGTGAGATTACCAATCTTGGGATGTGTTGGATGTTACCGTGGGTGTAATGGTCCTTCACACAAGAGAAATTTCTGTCCCCATGTCCTTCATTTGGCCTCCTTCCAAGAATGCCCCACAACTGTATTGCCAATGTCACAAGCGCGGTTGCCGGGGACAAGGGGGAGGGCTTTCTCGGTGGTGGCCCCCCAGCTTTGGAACTCCCTCCCCAGGGAGATTAGACGGGCCCCCACACTGTCCTCCTTTCATAGGGACTTGAAGATGTAGCTCTTCAATTAAGCCTTTGAGAATATTTAGCCTTACGTAGTAGTCACATATCCTGCACTTTATCCCATGCCCTCTCTCCATTACTGCAGCTGGCACTTATTTTATTCCAATGTTTACAGCAAGGCTATGGTGCCAGTAATTTACCGCCACAGTTAGAGAATTGCAACTTGATCGAGTCTGAATTGATGTTTTTATATGTGCATGTGTTTTATTTTATTGTATTTTATATTGTGCTCACTTTTATGTTTGTTTTTAGGCACTTTGTCACATCTGTAAGCCGCCCCGAGTCCCTTTGGGGAGATGGTGACGGGATATAAGAATAAAGTTGTTATTGTTTTTGCTATTGTTGTTGTTAGACAAGTCTCGAGATAACCTATTGAAATATTACTCCACAATTGAGTATCTCCGGATGACTGAAGGTATGATCTCAAGATTAAATATCTAAAGGCAAGAGAAGTGTTCCCTACTAATATGATAAAAGGTACCAACTGTCATGGTACTAGGCAAAACAGAAATGAAATAGCCACTCCAGCAAGTATCTACATGTCTATGAGCTTCTACAAGAAACTAAGCATTGTGCCAGGCAAGCAAACAAAGACCTGACCATCTCAATCTGGCAGAGCCTTCCCCATGGAACAAAATCTCAAGATAAAAGTTATCTTCTTCCATGCTAGAATAGGGTCCACTTCTAATTCCCCCTCCATCTGAAGTCCCCCTCCATGTCCGTTCTTAAATGTCATCACTAGCAAGCAAATGCAAAGTGAATGGCACAAAGGTGTTAGAAACAGTTCTCTAAATAAAACCCCTTTTCTTAAGGCAACTACAGCCAGACTCATTTTGATTTTGCACTGTAAATGGCATTTTTAATAGTGTGTTTAGGTAAGTCCCCGTTGCTGCAAGGTAAAAGAAATACATTTCTAGGGACATGAAAGTGTGGACTCTTGCCATCCCAAGAATGTAAATCATCGTAGTATTTTAATTAACAAATGAACAAATACCATCCAGAAATGCTAGAAATCCTACCTTCAATGGTTTGATCTGGTCCAAGCCCATGTAGGAATCCGATCTTAAATAAACTGTATACTGGTAGTTTCCGGGTTTGCCCGGTGCAGGAAATTTTAGTTCTACCTAGAAATACAATTCGCCCACACAGCTCAAATTATTAATAGACATTTACAAGCATAACTATAGATCAGATTCAATACAGCAAATCATTCAAGTGTAGAAACTGCCGGATTTTAGTTTCCTTATGCTTCTACAGTGCTTAAGGCCACCAAATTCAAGGAGTAAAGTATTACTATGAAAAAGTTGTACTAAATGCAGTACCTCCAGCAAAGGATCATCGCCTTGTCGGGGCGCTGGAGCTTGAGCACCTCAATGATGTCATGAGCGAAACCG